AGATGTGTATAAGAGACAGTATATATACTGTGTACTGTACTTTATGTAATTATATGAGGAGAAATTAATTCTTATTGTAATTAATTCTGAATTGTTATATTACCAATGAACAGATTACTTTATAAAATGGAAATATAATTTTTTACATCATACAGTTATAAATAATAACACATTATTTAAAAGTGGATGAACATTTTTTAAATTTCTATAAACACACAAATACCTTTATTTAAATAGTCTTTGGTATTATTCATGTATAATATTTTATTTCATGATAAAAAATGACAAAAGAATTATTTTTCCATTTATATAAATAACCACTACAAACAGCACCTCACACCATACTAAAAGCAGCAAAGAAATGAAATTCTCATAAATAAATGGAACAAAAAATGGACTGAAGCGACAGACAAGATGGAGAGGCACAGCGATACAACAACAAAAAAAAAAAAAACATGAAGAAAAAACCAAAACCAAATAGAAAAACCAAAACTCAAAAGAAAGAAAAGATAACACTCACTCTTTTCTTCATCAACTCAAGATTTGATGAACCATTTTTTACCTCTGAAGATTTCATTGGACCTAATTCTCTCCGCCTCAATGGCTTCGCATCCTTAAATATATCTACACCAAACCCAATGGCACCTGGTAATTTCACAGGCTTTGTTTGTACATTTGTTTGAGAAGTAGGTGTATCTGAAACACAAATAAAGTTCATTTTTTATATATTTTGTTTTAATGTCTGTCATTCGCAGACATCTCATCTCTGCAAATAATGAAGTTGGAAGAGGTAGAGATGATGCCTCTGCAAACTATCAGAGGGGTGAAAAGATGGGAAAGAATGAGAAACGAAGTAAAAAGGCAAGAAGTAAAAGTTGTGAATTTGAGAAAAGATAAGAGAATGCAGATAAGGTGGTAAAGTGGTAAGGACACATAGAAGAGAAAAGAAGTGGAGGATTTAGTAAAGATGGGCAGCGGAGCACAAGGATGACCTAGAAACCGATGGGTAGATTTGTCTGAGATGAAAGTAGAGTGACTGATTTGAGTAGGGTTAGTGACAGGGTAGATTAGAAAGTGGTAGAGACGATTTGACCAGCCCTTGTGGGGACAGATGAAATGTACTGATGAAATTGCATTTTCAGCACACTAAAATAAAAAAAAATAGAATACTGTATGATTGCCAAAAAGTTAAAAAATAAAATCATAAATATAGCTAATATTCGAGATTTTATGAAACTCAAAAAAGGAATTAAAATAATAATACACAATTTAGATTTACTACTTTTCAATATTTGCCATTAAATACAGAAAAAGCAATTTAATTATTATATAATCAATCTTTAAATTAAGATTCATTAGTATTGATGATTTTGGGTCGGAGCAACTGAGAGCAGCTTGCTCAGTCAGCAAACTGGTGTTAGCCACAGTGTGTTAGCTAGCCACAGTGTGTCAGCTGAACCATATCTCTAGGTCCCCGGTTCAAATCACATCGCTGCTTTCTTTGTGTTTCAGCTGAAGGGCTGATATGCAAGTTTCAAAAGAGTACCGTCTTTTGGATGAGAGGTTCAAGCCGTTGGCCCCTGTGCAAAATATTCCATGTCTTCGGAAAAGAGTACGGCATTGTCTCCCAAGGTACTGCCTAATTCACCACCAGAAGGACCCCACTAGAAATAATAAAGTCTCAGGACTTTCATGGGTTATCCTTGGTGTGAATCACACCCAAGAAATCCAATCCAATCCAATGCTAATGATTCTTGGTGATCTTTTGCTGTAAGGTGATAACTGCTTCTGGCCAGCTTCGAGTTTTTGGTAATTTACTTATTATTTGTACATTCATGATAACATAATCTACTATATAATATGTGCTTTTCCTAAAGAAATAAATATGATTACCTTGCTCTACCCTCAGTCTAAAAGCACAGATCATGAATATATACAGTATAAGAAAAATTGACAATTGTGCATAAAAAAAAAATCAATATAGATACATGGTAAAAGAACCCTGCCAGTTAATGATCTTTATATATATGCGCATAAATTAGGACTCTACAATATTTTATGGATTGAATATGCCTATGAGTATGTAACACAGATCACATGGTAAATGAAACAAAACTTAACATAAACAATATAAAATACTACCGCAAATAAAACCATAAAATATTTTTGGTACTACAGGAATTTAATTAATAGTGACAATAAATGAACATGATGTATAGCTGCAAGCTCTATAATCACTTCACCAATATCGAAAGTCTAATTAAATTGAAAGGTCAAATTGAGGCTAAAATAACACAAAGGGAAAATCAGAAAGTAATATGACAACATTATTTGAAATTTTACTATGAATATCTGAAAATTAAAATAATTTGTCAAAAATTAAACATAGATAAGTAAAGAAAGAAAAAAAAAAAAAACCCCAATAAAAACACTGTATATAGACTTCATTTTCTGCTGTTTTTGGATTTGTCGCAGACAAAAATGTCCACATTCCAGGTAGAGCTACAGTCTCTATAGCTACACTTAATATGGTCTGTAGCCGAAGTAGAGAAAAAATAATATTTAAAAGAATGAGCTAGTAATCACAAACAAAAAGAAGTAGAAAATGATTATATTTCTAAATGATTGATTGACAATTACGGGAAAAATGAAATGAGTAAGATGAAAAATAGAAGAATTTAAATAAAAATATTTCGTAATCCATAAAAGGAAAGAATTAGACAAAGAAGCAATAAGCAGAAGGGGTGAGGTAGGAATAATCTATGAAATGTATGCAAAAATTAAGACTTGCATTTCTTCAAGAAAAATCTATTTTTAAATCTATCTTACTGTACTACAAACCTTACATCTATCATTTCCAAAATCCTATTAGAAGAATCACAGAATTGCACTGAAATAAATCCCAGATACTCTATTGATTTTTAAAAATAGGTAGCAAATCGATCACTATACCATATTCACATGAATCAAACTCGTCAGATTCTCCGAGGTCTCCCATTTCATCGTAGTAATAGATCGAGTCCTTAATACCAGGCCTGGATGGAAGATTTAGACACGATCCTGGAGAGTACGCTGCAGCAAACCTTCGCATTGCTCCAATGCTATATGTCAATTCCATGTCACGCAACAAAAAAGCCAGTTAAATCCTAACTACGCTATATTATTTTATTCCTTAAAAATCTTCGGATATTGAATTAATATTTTCAATTTATCTGTCGAGTAACTGTTGCAGACTTCGGTTTAGGTACATCCAGTATAGCAGCGTTGGAGAATGTTATCGTTCGCAGCAGGCAACATTCAAAGGTGGATTTAATGGCAACACAATGCGTAAGCAATATCTGGTGGCGTTGATTAGTATGAAAAATAAAGAAGAGGATCTCGATACGAAAGTGAGCGCAGTCTTGCTGGGCAGGAAACGCAATACTGTTTTGTTTGACGTGTGTTTAAACCACGAGTAAGAATTTGGCCTGATTTGATAGCATTTCCTTTATGAGATCCCAGTGAATTGAAAACAAGAGTTTTTAGCCTAATTAGGTAAGACTGCCCGTAAAAGGCAGCTCCTGTTAAGGATAGATAGCCATACAATCTAATATACTGCCTTAGTTGCGTGAGTCATATTCATTGAATCAACTGATTGTGAAAAGTGATTTTTTTTTTTTCGCACAAAAATTTAATTGAAATACAAATTTATATTAAAAAATGAACCTCTTCTTAATAAAAACTTTGGTTTAAAAAAAAAGATTAAAAATAAATATAGTAATAACAATAATAACTAATCACATTATTGATAATAAAAAAAAAATCATACAATAGCAATATAGTATTAACAATAAAATAATAATATCAATATTGATAATATTTAAAATATTAGAGCAATAAATATATTCATACAAATTATAATACTTTTAAAATTTAATATAATCATTCTTACTAGATACGGAAGAACTGGCTGTGGGTGTATCACTTCTGCTGGCAGCTACTGTTGAAAAAAAAAAAGGTAAGAGAATGAAAGAAAACAGAATTTTCTTTAAGTAATTTATCTATTAACATAGGTCTACAGGTGATATTAACGACAATGATAAATGTGATGATGATGATAATGAAGATGATAATGATGATGGGGATGGTAATAATGATGATAATAATGATGATGTTGTGGTGATGACACTGATTATAATTATAATGTTGATTCTGATGACGACTTTAAAAACAAGGTTAAAAATGAAGATTTTGCAGAAGTTTATGATGTAGACGATGTTGATAATGATAAAATTTATGATGTTGATGACAACAATAAAGATTGTTTTAATGGACCCGCGCATATTCCTGGCGCTGTTCTGATTGGCCAGTTGTTAAGTTTGATTGACACTCCGGAAGGGTCCATTACAATAAGGAGCTTTCGATTTGCGCGACGACACCGCGCTAGAACGGAATTACTCATGGGTGACCGTCCTACCGGGCGTCCTACGTTCTCTGCATACGTAGATTTGGCTAAATTGCATCCTAGAATACACACGACGAGAACTTAACGTTCTCGCGTGCGCAAATTACTTTTAGTGACGTCATTACGTTCTATGTCCTACCGTCGTCGTGCAATCAAAAGCTCCCTATTTATGTGTCAACCGATCTTACTTGCTATTGGTTGAGTTGCTACGCTGGTATCGTTTTTACTGGCTGTTTCCTGAGGTTCATCGTCCTCCTCTTTAATGATTGACACAAAGTTAGATGGGAACATCCCACGTCTACCGTTCAAACTCCCTTCGCACCATCCATCCTCCACCTCTACTACATCCAGGATCACATCGTTTGGTAACAGCTTCAACTCGTCTTCATTCATAGGAACATAGCTATATGTCACCCTAGCCCTGTTCTCTCTTGATGGTTTATTCTCTAAAAAATAAAAAGAAAGCAAAATTGATAATATTTGTTAGCTCTTTCAAATTTTATATCTGCAAACTTGCTATTGTAACAATGTTAAGTAAGAGATTTCTCTCACTAAAATTAAAATAAATCTGTATTATCATCAACAAAAATTGCGCAAATCTTCCCACCCGAATCACAAGAATTTGGGGACGTATGGCGTATACAGTACTATGACACATCAGGTTGGGCAAAACATCGTTCCCAAGTTCAAGCTGCTTAAAAAAATTGGGTATAAATGAAGCAAGATAAAAACTTGTGTACACATTTATCCTACTGGTGCTAAGACAATAAGACTGCTTGTAAATATTAAAATCAACAGAAGTGTAGGCTTATAATTATTGAATTTCATGAGAGCAAGAATAATGCAATACATATATCTAATCCAAGCATACTGGGTTCTAACTCGCAACTACTTTGATTTTTTTTTTTTGTGACAACCCATCCCATCTCCAATACTTGGAACAAGATAAAGAATTAGGGGAAAGAAAATATTAAATACAACCAATAAAGAACTGGTCATTTAAAAAAAAAAAACCGAGTGACTGACATATTAAAAGGGAAATACAATAGCTAACTTGCGATACAGTGTGACACCCAGAATCAAGAACAGTGAATTTAATCATTTGACATTTATACAATCAATTATAACACTCATTATTTTATGATTTGTCAAATTATTACTACCACAGCAAGAGAATTGGCTGACAGCCAGATGTAACAAATTGCATCTAATTCATGGTTATTTTCGCAAGCGATTATAATAAATAATAATAATAAAAACTTTATTTAACTACGGAAACACTTGTTCACCACAATGGTATTTTTCAACAAGGCTGTAAAGGCATTGTACAACTCAACAAAACAGAAATTAAAACAAAAAGGTAAAAATAGACTTATTTAAAAAAAAAGAAAATCACATTAGGGCCTACTGAAAGAAACTTAACTACATTAACTAAACTGAAATATCGTAAATAAACTTACATCTTTAACTAATTCTAATATACTGATGAATTTTTGCCTTTTATAGTTTCTTGCTGTGTTTATTTTTGAAAATTAACAGATGCAAAAATATCATTGTTATATTTGTTACATAAAACTTATTTGGCTAGTAGTAGTAAACTCAAAGGTGTTTAACATTCTTTATTTAATATAAACATCAAATCATTGGTTAAAGAAGCTTTAAGGACATGGACTAGGTCACATTCAGAGTAGGAAAGTCAGAAGTATACACAATTTTCAAAATCCGTCAAAAGTTACACCAGAAAAAAGCTTAATGACCATTTTCATTCTTGCTACAGGTTGCTATGGAAATCCATTCACTGCCCCATGTGATGTGTTCTCTAGTTGCATGTCGCTGCTACATGTGAGAAAAATTCTTTTACGCTGGATTGTAATGACAGATACTGGGAACAGATTTATATACCCTGAAGGTCATATTTGTGATGATTTGTTGAAAAAGACTAGTCATATAATGATTTGCATATCACATAAAAAAAAACCCAATAAAACACAGTACAGCTTGTACCAGCACCTTACATCACCTACACACATACAATACAATGGCAATAATACAAGTGATTTGATTGGATAAACGTAAACTGGGAGCAGCGCCATACGATAGAGAAAGAAAAACAAATATTTCCACTGTATAGCTATTCCATCACAATAGCAATATCCAAGTAATTTTTTAAGAAATTAATTATGGCTCTGTCTACACTATCAAAATTTATGTAAAAAATTAATGTAATATGCCTATATATGGCATCACCATGCCCACATATGGTCACATCACAGTACATTTCACAGTGTGGACATAAAATTCAATTTAACTGAAAGCATGTTGCACAGGTCAAGATGTTGGACTTACCAATCAAGAGGACAAGAGTTTTCAAAGTCTGAGCTATTTACTGCTTGCTTATATATCTGGGCAAGGATACTTCTGCACTTCTCTCTACCCAAGAAGCATGGTAATGTTGGTACTTAGTCTGGTACAAGAGGTATGTGTGAAAATATTTCCCTAGAGAGTGGACAGGACACGTTATGCAAAGGGGTTTATAGAATCACAATGACGAGGAATCTGAAGCGCATCAAAATATCCGTAAAGTGCTTATTTCCCCACCATCCTCACCAGCTAATTTTCTTTCCCTGTCTAATCACATCAAGGGTTTTGCCTTTAGTACGCTTTAATAAGATACTGAAAGCTGGACACGGTTCTTGTAAGCTTTTATGATGCCGGTTGTAACATACATGCTAGAGTCAAGTGACAATTGCAGCACCCTACTTTTTAGCCCTAAAATTTTGTCTTGCAACCTCACTTCCTCCCCCACATCATCCTCTCTCCCCCCCCCCCATTTCATATTATTATTATTATTATTTCAGATGCTGGGGCCGCCACTGCAAATTTATAAATCAATGTACTGTATTACAAATAGAAATATAACATTCAACAATAATAATAAACTTAATAATTAGTAACAATAATAATATAGCAATAATTTATATTACTAATTCAATATTATATAATAATAATAATAATAATAATAATAATAATAATAATAATAATAATAATAATAATAACAATAATAATAATAATAATAATAATAGTGTAGTTTTATATAGCGCACATATCCATTTAATGTTAGATGCTCAGGGCGCTTGATATGTGGACTAGGAACTCGATCAATGACTTTCTTCTATACTTGTACTTGTATACAAGCTATATCATTACAAATAAAAAAATATAAAACTTAATAATAGTAACAGTAATAATATCCATATTATTGTATGTTTTTTCTTTTTCTGTTGCTTATGGTGAAATAAATGTCACATTGATTGATTGATTGATTAATACTAAATAATAGCAATAAATTTAATTACTATAATAAACAATAATATTAAATTATTATTAATATTTTATTTATTTAAAATTACTAAAAGACTAAAATTATTAATATCGCTGGTTTAAAGGAAGAGTCCCCCATATCTCTCCGCTCATTTTTATCAATATTGTGCAAGTGTGGAGTTGCTAAACAAAATGATTTGTCTAAGGACTAGACTGAGCATGTGCAAAGCAGTTGTGTTATTTGACATCCGATTTACAAGAATTGTTCAATTATATTCATTTCCCGTTCATTCCTCCGTTCACTGCCCACATTTAAAGCTAACTGCTTCAAAAAATGTCAGAAACTGAGAAACTGATCTATCCACACAAACCTGTACATGTATGTTAACTGAATTCAAGGTACTGTAAACTGTGTTAACAACACATAATGACATACATAAACATTTGATTCTAATTGTTTTACAACATTAATAACAACAACCACAACAATTATTATTATTATAGGCACTTTTAAAAAAATGCATGGGAGAATGAAAAAAATGTCAACAACCAAGGTATTCATTATAAACACACAAACTATAGAAGACTTGATTCTAGTTTGCTAATACAAATGATTTATACATTCAAATATTAGGAGTTCCAGTGCCATGCATGTCATGGAAGTTTCTCAGAGATTGAAAGAGTCCCCTCCCTGGCACTCCCCCAAGCGGGCATAAATCTACTGAAAAAAATTTATTGACCAATCAATTTGTGTCTGTTATAGAAAAAATTTGTTCAAGAGGTTAGACTGAAAACCAAGAAAATGCAACATAAATGGAATATTTAAAACATTAAAAATAATATATAAATATAATATAGTAATTAGTATATAATATATTGTTAGTGTACAGAAAGTGAGAAAAAATGAAATGTGAAACAGTTTGACAACCATGGCATTTAAACATGCATTTTAAAAGCACATCATTAGCACCATGATGATGATATAAAATGACATTAATTGATATTAAAAAGTTGACCTAATAATACCACAAGCCTATCCAGCTGTCTAATGCTTCACTACGTAGTACATGGAAACACGGACACCAAAGTACTTGAAATAGATGATACAGGGATATTTGCTGGGAAGTACCTAAGTTGGGAATAGGAAAACTACATAGATTGTTACTTTGGATAAGAGATGAGATTGGGATTACATATGCCACATGGAAGCAATATGGTCTTGAGAACAAAGATGCTATATGAAAGCACATGAAACAGGCAATAATATGTGTACTGTATGCTACATGTACTATACTTCTAATAGGATATAGTGATATAGATGATATCATTGGAATAGAGATGCTACACAGAAACATAGGATTTTAGATTGTAATATTAAGGAAACAGGAATTCTATATGAGTAGGAATCTGATATTCTAACATGGGAATAAGGACAGTGCCTGGGAACGGAAATCTGATGTACTACTGGAAATATGGGAATACGAATATAGCTAGCTACTTGGGAATATCAATGCTACATGGAAAAGGAGTGCTAAAGTGTGAAACATGTTGGAACACTTCCTAGAAATTGAATTAGTAACTTGGAACAGGGTAGTTACTGATATTAATAAGAAAATTATATGAATGATAAATGGGAATAAGAGCAGTGACATATCTAAGAGTCCTAAAATAAGGAAGAGGGGGGGAGTGGGCGGAGAAGGGACTGATAGGGTAAAAGGTGAAGTGAAGGTACTGGACAGTGGATCATTAAGTGAGGGGGACCTAGCTCGCAAAATAAGATAATGGGGTTATTTTTATCTACTTGTGCATGATTTTTGTTTTTTAATGGGGAACGACTGAGAGAGGGCACATTTCTTATCGGGGGAGGGGGGTAGCAGGGTGTGTATATGCCCTAGATATGCCACTGGACAAGACATACCAAAAGTGAAACCTAGGTTTAATAACCATACATCGTCTTCAAACAAAAAATACTTCCATACCAATGAAAAACAAAACTGTTTTACAGATTGAAGAAATAAATTCATGCAAAATGGAGTATTAGAAAATATAAACAATGAGGTTATTCATGGCAAGACACAGTGCGAAACACTGCATGACATAAAATAAAGGTACTCACTTAATCGACCTCTTCCTTATGAAAAAAATGAAAAGAATATAGTAAAACTACTTCAGATAAAACAAAACTTTGTCGCTTAATTATGTTATAATCAAATAACAAATATTAGATATAAGTATGTACTGTATACAGGTCTCTCTCTAATTAAATACCGCATCCAATTAAAGACCACTTTTCGGCGGTCCAATATTCACAAATTTCTTTTATCTTTATTATTCTAATTAGAGACCAAACTTGCTAAATTTTATTTTATTTATTTATTTAGGCACACAATACATGTGCCAAGGATTGTCAACAGCGAATATATCACTGTCCTACTTGTAGGTGACAATTCCTTACACAAGACAAACATACACACACGATGCTTTACACAAGCTAAATCTCCATATGAGATTTAGGGAGTGGAGTTGTTTTGGTCGTGAGAAAAAATCCAGCAACTGGCAGGAATTGAACCCAGGACTCTGGGATTGGAAGGCAAGCATCTTAACCACCAAGCTATTCAACTCCACTCCAAAGACCATGGAAATCCTCCAAAGACTCCAAAGACCATGAAAATCCTGGTCCCAAGAGTGGTCTTTAAATAGAGGAAAACCTGTATATATTGGCTGTTCGTTATATCCATCCCAAAATATACTGTATCAATTGTTTACTTTATATAAAAGTTAATGACCTTTTTTACTCTGCTATCCTGCACTGCAGAAGAGTACTGCTGTGTGCTCGAGGATGTCAATTAAGGTCAATCTTTAGCTTCTGACGTACATTACAATATTTAAAATTTTCCAAGAATACCAGCATGATTCATCTAGGACTCAGCTCCACTCAAATGCATTAAGTTTAAGTTAATATTATACCCTTGTAATTGATAAATTTTATTTATTTATTTCTTCTGAAGAATATCAATTAGACCCATTCAAATATTTATAGACCTAATAAAATCACATTTATATTATCATTGTTAGGATTAAGGCACCTAGTACAGGTATAAACTGGATCTCGAGCTTTTATTATATATTATACATATTTTTGGCTATGTTGCACCCTATGTCTCAATTAAGCCTGCTAACATACAGTACTCAGTTGTAAATCAAGAGAAACAAGCATGGGTATGCATTCTCATGAGTTCTGGTTGGCAAACTATCCCTGTAAAAGTGATACAGCATTTTAGTAGTACTGTACTATTCTTGTTGCTTTTTTAAAACACTTTTAAGGGAAATAAAAAAATGACCAAAAAATCAAATATCTCTGTCCAACTAATTTCATCCAATGCTCAGGCTCAAAAATAAATTTATCAGATACATACCTACTATAAATGTATACATATTAAGAAGCAGCACTGAAGGTCCTAAAATCCAAAAGCTGTTTTATTTTATGATGATAATGATGATTCTTCTAGCATAAAGAACATGTCACTAAACTTGATTTCTTTTGGAGGAGTTGAGCACAAAAAAGTGCCAAGTTATTTTGGCTCACTGTTGTAATCATTTACTAATTAGCCGACTTTTCTGATTGCATTTTAACCTTGGAATTAAATTAAAACATCCGAAGAAAGAGGGATCTGCTAGGTTATTTATAACCATGATTATTTGTAATTCATATTAATTCACTATTATCAGTCCCTGAAAAAAATTTCTTTATTCTTTAGCTGAAGCAAAGTTTATTTTATGTCACAAAATAACATACTGTATACTGGAAAAAATTATTGACTTCAAGTTGGGGCTAAAGCATGGAGACTGCACAATAAGAATGGTTGAGAATGGGTTATTTATAGTGGATCATAGTCATAGATTATGACACCAGAACACAAAAATAACATTGATATTGAATGATATGCTTTAACCTGCCATATGTAAATACTCTAGACATACTTAGCTATATAAAGGCATTACTTACACTTATGCTATGATGAATAAACATAACAGAAAAATCCCAAAATACATACAATCAATCTGGTTCTTGGAACACATAATGCATTGTGTAGTGTCACTGAATAAATTATACACGGTAATATGCATTAAATACTCTCCAAACTACTAGTCTAGACTGTTGCTATTACATGCACACAATAATGCTTTACTTTCCAAAGTGCTGTTTTTTTATTTGAATTTTATTTTTCTTTTCCAATACACATTTAATGTCATTATTATTGCATTTACATTGTAATCTTTATATTTTGGTTGATTTTATTGAAGGCTTTTAGTATTTTGTATAACAGATGGACAAAGTATTTTGTATAATATAACAGATGCACTAAGTACCTCTACCTCAGTATCCAAATATTGATACTTAGAATATATAACATTTTTTGAATAGTAAGTATTTGTTATAAAATTGTAGATTGAGTGTAACCTTTGAATTCAATGGTGGCAACTGAATAAACATTAATATTCTTTTTCTCATACATATACATTTTTTTCATACAAAAATTATATTTTTAATACTGCATATTCACTATAAAATAAAGAAATTATTAATATGTGTTTAATAGATAGCAAGGTTTGTTTAACTGTAGCTACAGTAAGTTTATACATTTAATGATAACATTTTTTTACCAGGCCATAATTTCTATAATTTTAATTGGTTTCTTTGAGTACCTTATCAAGTATGAAATATGCAACATAGCAGGAAGACTGTGTGCCTCTAAATGAATGCTGGTGACATTGCATGGGTCCTTGGGAAAGATTTGAGATGATATCGGTATATCATCCCAATATATAGTGAAATTACCGTGTGAACACAATGTGAAGGTGGCTGATTCAAGTCTTCAGGTGCGACTGTCATGTGAACACACTGTTCAGATGAATAACCTGTAACTTCAGGTGTAACTATCATGTGAACACATTGTGAAGGTGGCTGACTTGTGTCTTAAGGGGTGACTATTATGTAAACACATTGTAAATGTGACTTGCCTGTACAAGGTAAAGGTTGCTGACTTGTGTCTTCAAAGTAACTATCATGTAAACACATCGAGAAGATGACTTGTCTGCAGGTTGCAGGTGCAACAATCATCATATGAACACATAGTAAGGATGCTGACTAATGTGTTCAGGTACAACTACCATGTGAACACACTGTGAATGTGGCTGACTTGTGTCTTCAGGGGCAATTATCATGTAAATACAATGTGAAGGTAATTTGCCTGCAGGTACAACTACCATCATGTGAACACAAGGTAAATGTTGCTGACCAATGTGTTCAGATGCAATTCTCATGTACTGTAAACACTGTGAAGGTGGCTCATTGTCTTCAGGAGTGACTATCATTTAAACACAATGTGAAGATGACTTGCCTAAGGGTGTAACTATCATAATGTGAACACACTGTGAATGTGGCTAACCAGTGTGTTCAGGTGTAACTATCATGTAAAGACACTGTGAAGACGACTGACTTGTGTCTTCAGGAGTGACTATAAACATACTGTGAAGCTGACTGACCTGCAGGTACAACTATCCTATGTGAACACAATGTAAAGGTTGCTGATCAATGTTTTCAGGTACAACGATCATGTGTACTCACTGGGAAGGAGAATTACCTGACTTGTGTCTTCCGGAGCAACTGTCATTTAAAGAAAACACACGAAAGGAGCTGTTCTGTCTTGTGTTCAATTGGGACTGTCATGCAAACACATAGTAAAATCAGTTGCCTATATCTATAGGTGATAATGTGCAGTAAAGGTGACTGACCTATGTATTTTTATGGTAGCAAACTGCACAACTATCATGTGAACACATGCTAAAGGCTGCAGACATATGTTCATATGTGTATGTGTACATACCTCGTAAACTGACACCCGCATTACTACTAGAGGCAGACTCCTTGGCATGATGTACCTCTCCGTTGACTGGTGGACCAGGTGCTTTGGATTTTGTTGTTGTGGTAGATGCTTCTAATGGCCGCGGTTCTTCTTTTTTCTTTTCTAAAACCTAAGAAATAAACAAAATAAGCTTTAAAATCCCAGGAAGATTGGTATAAATGATAATGTTAACTGTTAGTTAACAGTACAGTAGTAGTAATAAAAATAAAAACTATGGTACCAATAATAACAATAACTTATAAACTATTATATAAATCTGCCACTAACCATTTTTCTATTCACCATAACAATAACAAAAAAATAATTAAAATAACAGTAATGACAGAAGAAATAAACACCCTTTTTGTAATGTCACATTAAAAAAGAAATTATGGAATGATCAAGGAACCAAGGCTTATTTATTGTCGACAATACAACAACATACAGTAAAAATGTGGACTTGTTTGAGTGAAATTTAGGGGTGTACAAAAAAATTAATGCCTTCCTCGAATAAACACCCCACAAAAAACTTTCTCAACGACAAAGGGCGTTTTTTTCAAATAAATATGGTAACTATAATACAGATTCTATGCTATATATTGTTAGTTGCAATCAGTAAACATGAGAGGTCTTCCTATTGTAGTCATATCCTATATCCTGGATACTTGACAGACAGTGATAGATTATTAATCTAATGTTTGTTACCAGTTTAGCAAAACACAGCCATTTATGTCACCTTATAAAGCTATGACAGGAAAGATATCACTGCTGTTATCATGTAAAGCATAATATTTGTTTAAAGTAATTAAATGACCTTTTGTTGTGTTTTATTTATGTCTGGCTTACACAAGAAAAACTATCTCGGCTGTGGTAAGGCGCGACTTTTTTAATAGTTCAGCGAACTTTTTTATTTTATTTTTTAAGAACATCATGGTAGATTAAAAATAAAAATAATGTTTTTTTCTTATTTAGCAAAACGATTTTGCAAAAAGTATCTAGGCAGAGCAGCAAATATAATTTTTATTGATGAATTCAAACAGGGTAGTATGAGATTGATAAATGCTTTAAATTAATTAAGGAAGAAATATATCTTATTTTTGAAAATTTCGGGGAAGGGAGGGCGTAATAAAAATAAATTCAAACAAAAAAAATGTTGGAAATTTTATTTTTTTCTTGGAAGGGTGTGCTAACTGGTCAAAAATAAAATTATATTCTTATTTGAAATCACCAATGACAGTCAGAGGGTTTCCTTATAAAAGTCCTTTCTAAGGTCTGAAAAAAAAAAAAACTCACTCAAAAATTCAATTAATATAATTATTAAATTTCTCATTTAAGAACATCAAATAAATTTACCAATTTCCAATGAGACACCTACCAAACCAATTCAATATTCACTGATGCGTGGACTTACTATGAAAATTGTCTGACTTAAATATATTATTAATATTAATAATATTAATTATAATCAGCTTGGAGCTAACTGGGCAAATCTGGCGAAGAATAGAAAAGAATGGGGTTTGAGGAGGCCATCTGTCTGCAGTTGCCTGAGAGGCTGATAATAATGATGATGATGATTATTCATTATTATTATTATTAAAATACACTATCATTATTATTAAAATACACTACAGAATGCAATAAATCTAATTAAATGTAATTTATGAACAATGGATTGATTTAACAGACAAAGCTAGTCAGTGGGCTTTATATAACAAACCTAGGGATTATGGACTTTGCATCGTGTTTCCAAATTCCCAAAGTCATCAATCAGCAGATAATAAATACTAGGACAGTATACTGTAATTTCAATCATATTCTTCTTTGCTGATTTTCATCAAACATGTAATGGTCCTCTGTGGGCCACAGATAATCCTGAGCTTAAATGGGAATCAACTTAGTATGACATACAGCATAGTATATATTTCATTTATAAATTTTTATGAATTATCAAACTGGTCCAGAAAGGTGCCAGTACAGTACATAATGCCTGGTGTTAATATAGTGTATGTATGTTGAAATGAATATTGACCGATTTTAAGTTCCATAGCGCAAGTCATTTGTAATTCTACAAAAGGAATTAAATCTCAATCTCAACTTGACAAATTTTTTCATTAAATAAAAACAAATGTGGAGTCGTCGACCCCTGGGAAAAAAAAAGGGACAAGAAGTTGAAACCCAGTCAACTGAGATGATCAAAATTTATTTTATTTTATTTAATTTCAACAATATTTTGTGAGGGTGGTCCATCTAGCCAGAGCTGGTCATTTTTTTTTTTAAACCTGCTTTAAACTAAGTATATTTTAATGTATTCTTTATTTGAAGGGAACATTGGGTTTGCCAAAACTTTGATATGATACATTATGTTTCAATGTATTCTTCCAAGTGTTTTAGAATGAATACTGATTCATTATTATTAAACATTTCTCGGTAGTCACTCATTAAATTCTATTTAATTACAAAAATACAAACATCAAGCTCCTACTGTACTAACAGTATTAAATATGTATAGGCAAAACTTTGGCTTCTGATATATGTTATTTTGATGTCTGTAAAAAACTGAACTAAATCCAATATTTTGAAAGTAGTAGAAAATGTTCAGTTGAGTCTGGCAAAACCATGGTCTCTTGGTCTCTAAAAGAATCCCTATAATTAATAACTGGCACTCAATAGGGATCCCAAGTTGGTAGAATCATCATTCAGAAGATTTGTTTTACATGAGGTTTATTAACACATCTAAATATATTTTGCTTTGCATGGTGATCAACATTATGATGCACTGACTTCTGGAAGACAATAATACACATCCTGCTGATTTCCAGGAGACTCCATTCCAAGACTCTGCAAGGGACTTGGGACTCCTGGGCACTAAATGTGGTCTTTAGATTTCTCTATTTAGAGGGAAATCAATTTATAATACATTAATTGTTCTGACATGGACGTACAGTAACTGCATGCTGTTATTTATTCATAATAAAACATTAGCCGTATATCAAGGCCTGTACTCGTTTTAACCAACCTCCCATTAAAATTATTACATCGCCATAAACATAATATCGTTATTCAATATACACAAAACATCATCTTACAAAGTGCACTGGCTAATATTTCTTTGTGTAAGTCATACATAACAATATATATTATAGAAAAAGTGTATTAACATAACTACATATTTTATAGTGGTCTTTAATGAGAGGGAAAATGTTCAGTTGGGTCTTTAATTGGAGGGAGCGTCAATGGAACAGATATTGCCAGGGGTTTTTTGTATTTGAATGCATATTCACTGAGAGCATTCTGGCAAAATTAAGAATATTAACTGTAGTAGGAAGGAAATGCATATTCATGATTCCTTAACAGCCAATTACTAATTTCTGTAAATTTCAATAGATTTTCTTATTACTTTAACAATGTTACTATAATGAACTGTAAATTAGTATTATTATAAAATTAATTGATATTTTCCCTTTCAGGAAGTATTTCAAAAAACCTTTGATAATAAATGTTTGTAATTATTTTGACCATGATCTAGTTATACTTTCAATGTGCAGAAAAACATCTTAAAAACGGAAGCCTTTCAAAAGTATGGATTAACTAATTATGAAAGTTTGATGACTTACCATCGCTTGAAATAAAAATTTCAGTTTTCATGTGGGAAAATATCTTAAAATTAACCAGCAAAAAGAAAACAACGGCACTACTCACTTCTACCTCAGCAGATGAACTTTCGTTCTCATCGTCAGTTTTGCGCTTTGACCTTTTAAGCAAATTAATACCCTTTCTAAAGGAGCCTATTTTCGAGACTTTCTTGGTTTCTTTCTCCTCAGCATGCACCATATTAATAGCTGATTCTGCACAAGTGTTGCTTACACTTTATCCCCAAGTGAAACTTGCTTAACTGTTGCCTTAAATCAACACCAGAACCCCACTTTTTTTCTATTATCTCTAAATTACCTCCTTGCATTTCATTTCATAGAATTGTTGATCGAGTTTGCGTGTTTATGTTTCGGCATTTGAAATTGGCAGTGTGATATCATGGAGGAAGCTGGCGTGTAGCAGAGGAAACGCTATGACCATATTTGTCAAGCTGACTTCTGCTACCCACTTTGCAATGCAACAAGTACAGATGCAGTCTTGATGTTTTCACATATTCATGATGAGGGGCTGAGCTACTTGATGCTTAAAGTGTTTTTTCCAATAATTAAAGAACTTCCTTTTAAGGCATGTGATAAATTAACAAGGAAAACTCCCACTTAAGTTCAAAACATGAAATGCAGTCATTAAAATATAAAAAGATTCTATCATCAATGGTTTTCAATATTTAATATTCATCTACAACATTCCTGATGAGTTAAAGACGTACTGACTGAGTCAAGCTGCGGTTACGACATGGATGCTCGGATCGCTGAATCATAATTGTTAAAACACTAACAGCTTTGATACTCAAAAAAAATTTAACCATAGCAATAAGGATTTTAAAAAATAAATAAAATAAGTTAATGTACAGAATAATGATGGCATGTTTCATATGAAATAAAATGTAAATAAATTTTAAAAATATTAATACTATTGAACTTTTTTTTTTTCTGGTTTTTTAAAACATTTTTATTCTACAACATTTATAATTCTTTTACTTTTAGTTTCATTTCTATAAACAAATAGCTTCTGTATCATGAATCTCATACAAGAGAGTACAGTTGTGATGGTGATGGTTTAGATGCTTGCCTACAATCTCAGGGTCTTAGGTTCAAATCCTGTGAAAGTCTGTTACTAATAAAAATACCAATTTTTTTCATAGCCAGAAATACTGAGGCTTAAAAACCTACAGAGGGAGGAATGGTGAGTATTGAGATGGAATTTCACATAACATTTTATTTAATTTTTAATTTCTTTTGGTGTGTTAAGTGTTTTTTTTACTCTTTTAACACAAAACATTTTCCGAGTATCACAGTTAATAATTTTCAACAACCAAATAAATTTTTATGAAGCCCTGTCCAGATTATCAAATGTGACATGCCTAAATATGGTCATGACATCACATCATGACCATATATAGGCACATCATGACTATATATGGGCATTTTTTGATAGTGTGGACAGAGCTTTATACACAGAGCATCATGAGAATGTCAAGTTAACAGCTGGATGGAGAGTCTAGTTAATATTACCAAAGATACTAAAATTTAGAAATACAAGATAGAGCACTCACATAGCAATTTTATAATGCAAGTTTTCAATACTTGGTCCAGACGTACAGTGCGCCCTTCTGTTGCTAGGTATAACTAGGCGCGCAGGGCGCCCTTCTTTCTCCACTAATGGAGGAAAACTATCAATAATCAGAGTCTGATCATACGAATCTGCGCTTTTGTGTCTGTCATTTTATTGTTTTGATTTATTTATGCCTACGGGTTTGCATGTTATGGATAATAGCAACGATTTCAACCTCCGCAAAAGGAGTTATGTATTCACAGTTATGTTATGGTGGCTGAGGTTTTTTAGGTCCAGTCGTACGCGGCACCCCATTATTTGTATTCCCACCATGCATTTCGGTGGAACATTTTTTTCTGTGGAGAACTCTATCTCGTTTTTCTAGTATCTTTGATATTACAATGTGAAGAAAAAGCAATAACAATATTATAACCAATTAAAGATGAGTGCAATAATAATAATAATAATATTACAAGGACTATGCATTTGGGTTGGGATGTTTTAGTTTCTCAAGGCACCGAGGCCCACATACTGTACACATTGGTGAAACTATTTTTGAAGAATATGACACATGAGCATCTTTACCTTTACAAAGTTGTCAGGAAACATTCCGCGTTTGCCGTTAATTTCGCCTTCCCACCACCCACCATCCATCATGTTTATATTCTTGATGATATCACCTACGTTGAGGTCCAGCTCATCGCTGTTGACTGCGTCGTAGGAAAACTGCACCTCCGCTTCCAGACCAGATTGATTCTCTAGGATGTAAACAAATAATAACCAAACCATTTATAATAATAATCAATAAAATGATTTTAGCAAACAAAACTAATATCAATACTGTATAATCCAGGTAGATTAAAAGCACTTTTCAACAGGACAATCAATTTTGTATCACAAGATCGACCTTTAATAATTTCAACGTTCATAATAATGATGATTATTATTTCGGTGTCGATTCTAAATGGCCTTCAGTAAAATTAATAATTATCTCTTGTTTATACCTCAATAAAATGTATTCCACACACAACAATAACCAATAGTACAGTAATCTAATCCGGTATGTTGGCATATAAAGTACACATAATTCTTACTGCAATAATAATAATAAACACAACTGTGTGGTTGCTGGTAACATATAGAGGGCAGCATTTTGTTTTTTTTTTGTAGCTACAAGTAGTGCAAACAACTTTATGGAGGAAGATAGACATAATCCACTTTTGTTAGCCACTACTTGCTTGTGGACTTAAGGACACTCACACTGGTACTTCTAATTTGTATTTCCTTGTTTAGGTCAATATAGACACAAGTTATGATCATCATCACCATCAACAGGTAATATTAGTCATTTGTTTAATCCGGTTTTATTACCAGCGACCATATATAAAATAACTGCGCTTACCAACACATCCATAATACTGTAATTAATATAAATAATTCAAAGATATGTTAGAGATTGCAATTTGAATTTAACTTATTAAAACAAACAAGTTTGAAAGATGACAAAAACTATAAATAATGTCTATATTGCTAATTAAAAATATTATCTCTTGACAGTAAAATACTATAATTAGAATTTTATAAAGCTCATCTTATAGGTAGCAAGAAATATTTCCTATAAAAAAAAAAAGCAACAGCTTTACCTTATTCTTTTTATTTTTTATAATTCCAAATTTATCTTGCATGTAAATTTTGTTACGTTACTTAAGTTTCTTCTTTCCAATAAACAAATCTGTAACTGTGATTTTCTATAGACCAATAAATAATTGGATAGGTTTTAAATTGTTGAACATATGACATCATTTGTTTTTTTTTTTTTTTGCTTTGTGTAATGGAGGGAGTTGTGAAGCACTTGAGCAGAGATCTGGAAATAAATTCAAACAATTTTTTCTTATTTGGAAGTAGCATGCGTGGTCCAGATAGAGTTCATGTGTAGACTGATATTAAACACTTGCCATATGATCACAAACATACTCGCAAATAAACACTTATACTTTATAATTTATTTATAAGTTATTGCAAATACTGTGTATACATTGTTAATGTTCTTAAACATATTGACGATACTTATGTACTGGTATTATTCTGTTAAGTGAACAATAAGCAGGTCTGATGATCAATCAATTAAGACTCGTGTGAGATATTTTTCATACCTTCATGTATCTTTAAATAAATGGAATAATATTGTTATTCTTTCTTTTCTTTATTCTTTATTGGTCTAATATATTTAAAATAAATACATCAGAAATTCTTCATTTATACACTGCAATAAAAGGTAAGAAATTCAATATACAATTACATATGAAAGGTTAAGAAACACAATTCAATTACAATTTAAAATAGAAAAAGTTATGTTAAACGGCAAAAACAATTCAATATATGCAATTCAAATAAATACTTTAGGTAATACAGTAAAATTTACAATTATTAATTAGATTGATATTGATATGATATGATCAAGGTGTTCTCTCCGTGGGTAGCAAAAATTATCTTTTAACATATTTGTTGTAAATTACAATAGAATGTGGAACAAACGATTTGTTATAGCGTTTAGTACGACTAGGTAAAGAGCGAATATGGATATGGGATGGGAGAAAATTGTACTCGTTGTAGAGTGGATGATCATTTTTAGAAAGTATGCGTCTTTAAAACTTGCTAAATTAATTTTCAATTTTACAAATATACATTATTCATGATTTTGTGATGAGTTACCAAGCTTGGATAAGAACTTCAAATCGCTATCTTGGTATGGTTTGTTTATTGTTTAAGTACAGTAATTTTGGTCGAGATTTTGGCAGCATGTGGTTTGAAATCCTGACCACAGAAGTTCAACAAACAGAATGGAAACCAATGAGCCAAACTGCCTTCTTACTATTATTGTTATTAATATTAATATTATTATTATTTTTTAATATTATTTCATTTATTTGTATTCATTCTGCCCCCTCCCCCCCACACTTCTACTGCCGTCAGTTTCTGTATGGCTATTTTTTCAGATTTTCAATAATGGATGTATATATCGACGTACGACGATAGAGCCAATAAACTTTTGTTTGCGATTATTTTATTACAATTCTCTCTGACGAACCCTGACTATATATGATGAATGTACTGTAAGCCTTCGATAGCCAAAATAGAGGCTTTTCGACTAAATTGATATATAAAAATACTGTTTCCTCTTTTTTGTTGCAGCCTAAAGGTGCAGCACGAAAATGACGGAAACAAAAACTAGAAGTAGAACCTGTGAAAACCAAAATAGTATTAATTTAATATTCATACAACAATCAATGTATTCATCTTCCTATTATCAACTTTGATATTGAGACTGGTTGACTTTAAATATTTGATTTTTATCACAAATATTAACTTCCTTGTTCACAAAAAAATGTACCATTGAGAATGAACAAATAGATCAAAATGGTGATCCGGAGTTACTGCCTTTTTGTTTTATTTAAAAATGTACTATTGGTGTAAAGCTCAAGATCTTGAAATATGAAGCTCAGTATTTTAATTGCTTAAAAATTGGATATTAAAGTAAGGTATTACCTTTCAATTACACATTATTTCAATGATAATATGGTTTCCTCATTCAAGTATCAGTACGCATATAAATAAAATACATTAAAATATTTAAAATCCAATCTTTCTCTTTCAATTACATGTTATTTCAATGATAATATGGTTTCCTCATTCAAGTATCAGTACGCATAAATAAAATACATTAAAATATTTAAACTCCAATCTATCAATAAACAAAAGGCTGCGAAGTACAACTGCATATAAATGTTCTTCGAACAA